GAAACAATCCTTATAGATTTTTAATCCATATTTTTGCCATAGATTACATTAGCACAAAGTACGGATTATATATCTCAACCACTGGGAGTGAACTTGCCATCCACGCGATTTGTGATTGACAGATTCACTTTGATTTTATATTTGCATGCAGACAAAATAAAGAACCTTGAAATGAAAGCAGATTTAAAATCAGCCTTAATAAAATTGCAGTTAAACAAAGTTGTTTTTTTCTGGAAAATCTGTTGGTTAGTTCCAAATCTAGTTATTACTGTAAATGAATTCAAAGATGAATTAATGTCAAAGAATTATAAGAACAAATCCACTTGATAAGTAATTTTAATCAAACTATCAAAGCCATTTTAATAATAAAATAACACTAAACACAATTTAAAAGTCAGAAAATAAACCTTGTTTGGATGGGCAATGGGGCACTATGAGCTATTATGAAGATATTATGAAGGCGCTCCTCACATCCACCTCCCTTCCAAGCAATAGAACCACTGGCTTACTGTTCCAGACGGAGAGTTCTTGGTGATTAAAATATATTTTAAAACAACAGTATCCCTTTTAAACTTTTTATAGTTTATATTATTTATATTATATCATACATTTATAACATAGATATATAATTCTTAAAAAACAAACAAAAAAACTGATTGTACCCTGACCCACAATATACAAACTTTCAGTACAGACCCAAGGCAATGAAAATAGAAGCCAGTTCCACCATGCTTGTTGGGTGAAGGGACCTCTTGTCGCCATCGAACTCAGCTATACGCATATGAACCACAGCCTTATCACACCAGACAGAATTAGTTTAAAAAGTGATCTTTATTTATCCCTTTAAAAGGGTTGAATTTGATGCCCAATCGCTTTGCCCATAAACATCTGCCGAAGTCCAAGATTTGAATCAGGAAGCCTTAGACAGGGGTGCTGCTTATCCTGAAAGGATCAACTGATCGATAGTTCCCCATTCACAAAGTGACATGAGAAAAATACATATGTTTCCGTTACAATATGGCTGTGATGAGATTTTATTTGAGTCTTTGCAATACTTGACATAGGGTGAAATTAAACTTTACCTTAAACTGACCTTTATTGATTACACAATAACATTTGCATCACTAGATGGTCTATGTCAAGACTGGCATACGTCAGGTCTTTGCCAGTCTTGACTTATGCCTGGCTTTAATCAGTTATTTACTGATAGACTTTCCAAAACATAATTTCATATATTGAAAACCTTGAAACCTTATTTATAATTATCCATTGTTCCTGTTTGTAAGAGTGTGGGGCTCGCTGTGGTGATTATACTGTCTAGAGTACCCCATTTTCTAAACAGGGCTCTTGTTAGCATCCAGGGTCAAAACCTTCTCAACCTCGATCTCACTGATAAAGCACTCTTTCCAATTATCAGTATCAATTTTGTGCAACCTAAATGACTTTTTTTTTTTTGGCTGAGGGCATTGGGTCAAACTGCTCACAGTCAATCACTGCTATCCAGGTAGGATGAAAGTGACATTGATATAGAAGTGTTAATTCCATATTAGCAATGCAACCAAGAAGAATCCAAGTTTATGTCAAACTGGTCCTAATTGCTTTCCCATTTTACCGGGGATAGTCAACATAGCCAGTTCATCGATAGCTCTTTCATATCATGATATATTTTCTTAAAGGACACCAAATACAACCTCTCAGTCTGACCATAATAAGATCCTGCTCCAAATGGTCCCCTAAAAACTCTGTAAAATGACTTAATAGCATGTAATTCTACTAAGTGTTCTACAGTTATTCTCAATGCTAGCATTATCTTTTCACCCATATTTGAAAAATATATATTTTTTTAATTATGCAAGAGCTTAGCAAGATGTTTGTTGACATTTTATATTTTATCTCCTCTGTGTGGCTTCCAAAGTACTCAGAGTAATTGTTGTGATTCATTACAGCAGTATCAGTCACCCTTGCTACTTGGTAAACTTAGTAAATCACAAGTGTTAGTATCTATTTCACACCATGCTTAATAGCTAAATCTGGAAATGAGGAAACCTTAAAGGACCACTGTACTCACCCAGACCACTTCAGCTCAATTAAGTGGTCTGGGTGCTACCAGGTCTACCTAGTTTTAACCCTGCAGCTGAAAACACATCAATTTCGGATAAACTGCTATGTTTACATTGCAGGGTTACTCCAGCCTCTAGTGGCTGTCTACCTGACAGCACAAGAGGCCGCTTCCGCGATTCTCAGTGTGAAAATCGCATTGAACTAACGCAGCATAAGTTCAGATCCCCATAGGAAAGCATTGAGTTATGCTCTACTATGGGCGGTTTGAATGTGCGCAAGGCTCTGGCCGCGCATGCGTATATGGCTCCATTCGGGATCTGACGACGGCAGGGGGAGGAGTAGTCACCAGTGCCGAGGGAGCCCATGCTGAAATAAAGTAAGTGGCTAAAGGGGTTTTAACCCTTTCAGCCCAGCGGGAGGGGGGGCCACAAGGGAGGGGGGACTGTAACGGACTGTTTTGCCCAAAAGAGGTTAAAAACCGTTTAGGCGATATTCCCCTTTTTCAGCTGCACCGACAGCTACTGCAAGGACCAATCTCCTGAACTGCAAACCCACGAATTCACCAACTCCCGAACTGCATACCAAGCGAATACTCGAAACTCCCGAACTGGAGACACACGAATAGCTGCTAGCAGACGAACAGGAAAAGCCCCCAAGCGGCTTACACTCCTGGCAATCAGTCTCTAACAGCATACAGTAAATCCTCCCCCCAATAATGAGACGACACTTCACTTTGAGGGTTAAGCAGGAACTGATTTACTGGGGCTAACTGCCCGGCTTTTATGCAGGTCTCCCACCTGGTGGACACTCCCTAGGGGACCAAATGGGAGACTGGGACACAAAGGGTAAAAGGACCAATCACAGACTTACACATTTCAACCATCCCACAATGCATCACAATCCCTCCTCTCTGCTCTGGAGATAATTGAGAAGTAATTCAATTATCTCCAAAGACAGAGGCAAAACTCCATTAACCACATGTCAGAAAACAAACAGTAAAAGACATAAAATTACCTACAGTTACATTCAGTACATAAAACATATACGTTCTACATATCCCCAGATAGCTCAGGTCTGAGCGCACATTATTAAGCGAATGGCGCTCAGACCACACAAATACAGTTTAATCGCCATGGAGCCAAAGTCTTTACACAGTCAGTGTCATGCGAATGGGCTCCATGGGATTCCTATCTGGGGTACAACACACTCAAACAAAACTACCGAACACCCAGCAGAAAAGCACAAATAAGTCTTTTCTGCAGGGAAAAAGATGTCTTTTAACATGGGACCATAGTCCAAAGGCAGCAGGCGAGCAACCAGGCTTCTCCAGTGTACAGTGGCGAGGTTGGTTTCGCCACAGGGACCTAATAACCCTATAGTGCCAGGAAAACAAATTTGTTTTCTTGGCACTATAGTGCTCCTTTAATAATTTAAATGTAACACGCAAACATGAAGCATAATTAATCCCTGTTCCAAAGCACTGAAGGTAAGATCATCACTCTGATATGACAAGCTTGTTATTTCTATAATATGCAATACATTTACATAATACCAACCTAAGCACATTTTTAGAAAGGCATATGTTTATGTCTCCCCAAAAAAATGCATTTTTTTGACATAAATTATTACAAAGTCAGAAAAACTAAAACAGAAAAAATATTGTTCTGGTACATATTTTTTTATTGGATATACACAAAACTATTGCTCCACAAACAAGTCATTTTTAGGAAATCAGTTAAAAAGTATTGTTCTATACATACTAAGATAGTAAATGGGAAACAAGCCATCAGAGGACAAATGTGCCATATTGCAAGCTTTCAAAAGGTCACACATTGTTTTTTACAAGAACTTTTTACAAGATTTTTTTACTTTTGAAATTACTGTCAATGTTATGAAATGGATAAAATTCAGACTGAACAATATAAAAGTGTTTAAGGATTGGCCATACACAGAAATATAAATGGAAGAGCCAGCACATAGCTTCGAGCTACATTAGTTCTAAACATTAAAAACAAGACATCTTTTCTATAAATCAGTTTGTTTAAAAATGAATGATGTTTGGGTTTGGAGAGATGGAAGCAGCATTTGCTAAATGTACAGTGAAGCATTAGTTCTATTGTCACATATTAACGAAGATACTTTGTTGCAAATTAAAGGGACACTACCAAGTCTAGCCCCGAGTCTAGCCCAATCCCACATGGCAGCAGAACACTTAACATAGAAACATAGAATGTAATGACAGATAAGAACCATTCAGCCCATCTAGTCTGCCCAATTTTCTAAATACTTTCATTAGTCCCTGGCCTTATTTTATAGCTAGGATAGCCTTATGCCTACCCCACGTGTGATTAAACTCCCTCACTGTGTTAACCTCTATAACTTCAGCTGGAAGGTTATTCCATGCATCCACTACCTTCTCAGTAAAGTAATACTGCATGATATTATTTTTAAACCTTTGCCCGTTTAATTTAAGACTATGTCCTCTTGTTGTGGTAGTTTTTCTTCTTTTAAATATAGTCTCCTCCTTTAATGTGTCGATTCCCTTTATGTATTTAAATGTTTCTATCATATCCCCCCTGTCTCGTCTTTCCTCCAAGCTATACATGTTAAGATCATGAGTGTATGTGGCAAACATCACTGTGTGTATGTGGCTTCAGCTTATATATCTAAATAATACACTGTGTGGCTAACAACCAATGGTTGATATCAGACATGTGCGAAAATTTGTTTTGGCCATAAACTAGTCGATTTGTCCAAACCAAAAGCTTTTTAATTAACACCCAAGCGAATCAGTCCGGCCATTTATTCCCAAAACATGTGGTATTATGTTGTAATTCTGTGTTTGGCCTTTGAAGAGTAAACAAAGCAGACAGGGAGATAGGAAATGTCTGTTTACATTGATTTTGATGTAACATTTGTATATACCGTATATACTCGTGTATAAGTCGATCTCATGTATAAGTCGAGTGCAGTTTTGTGACCAACAATTGTGAAATATGCTTTGCCTCGTGGATAAGTCGAGGGTAAAACTTGGGGCTATGAAATTCTGTGATTTTTATAATTATATACACACACTCTGCATTATATACACACACACTTATACAAACACACACTCTGCATTATATACACACACACTTATACAAACACACACTCTGCATTATATACACACACACACTCATACAAACACACACTCTGCATTATATACACACACACACTCATACAAACACACACTGCATTATATACACACACTCATACAAACACACACTCTGCATTATATACACACACACACTCATACAAACACACACTCTGCATTATATACACACACACACTCATACAAACACACACTCTGCATTATATACACACACTGTGTGTATAATGCAGAGTGTGTGTTTGTATGAGTGTGTGTGTGTATATAATGCAGAGTGTGTGTTTGTGTAGTGTGTGTGAACTGGGTGGGGGGAGGGCATTTTTATTATTTAAAATTATTTTTATTTTTTTTATTGTTTTTGTCCCCCCCTCCCTGCTTGTTAACTGGTCAGGGAGGGGGGCTATCTTAATCCCTGGTGGTCCAGTGGCATGGGCTGTGTAGGAGGGGAGCCGGCAGGAGGCATTTACTTACCTTTCCTGCAGCTCCTGTCAGCTCCCTTCTCCTCCGTTCCGGTCAGCTCCACTGTAAGTCTCGCGGTCTGGTTGCCGCGCGGATCGTTGCCATGGCTCTGATGGTCGCGGCTCTCTAAGTTGCCATAATACAGACAGTGACTCGAGTATAAGTCGAGTGGGGGTTTTTAAGCACAAAAAATGTGCTGAAAAACTAGACTTATACTCGAGTATATACTGTAGTTACATAGTTACATAGCTGGAAAGAGACCTGTGTCGATCAAGTTCAGCCTTCCTCACATTTGTTTTTTGCTGTTGATCCAAAAGAAGGCAAAACCCCCTGTTTGAAGCACTTCTGATTTTGCAACAAACTAGGAAAAAAATTCCCTCTTGACCCCAGAATGGCAGTCAGATTTATCCTTGGATCAAGAAGCTATTACCCTACATTAAAAAAATTATATCATTGGATATTCTGTTTTTGCAAGTATGCATCTAGTAGCTGTTTAAACATCTGTATGGACTCTGATAAAACCACTTCTTCAGCGACTTATAAAGAGGCAAAATGATACTCGTCCCGAGAATGAATGCCCTTTTTCATGCATGACAATACCTTACTGGCCTTGGCCACTGCTGATTGACATTGCACATTGTTGCATAGTTTGTTGTCTATAACAATTCCCAAGTCCTTCTCGTGTGGGGTTATCCATAATTCGCTTCCATTAAGGGTATAAGTTGCTTGTGCATTCTTGGTGCCAAAGTGCATAACTTTGAAGAAAACCATTTGTTTTTGTCTTGATATCCCTTTACTAATCTTTTATGTGATATGATGCAATGTGATATGTACAAAAGTATGAGAAAACTGCATACTTAAATGATCGTATAAAACATATATTGATGAACATTTGCCAGGTCTACTATACTAATTGGTAGAAAATATAAAAAATCCATGGCTGTAATATGTGCTCCTGGATGATGCTATTTTGGTTAAACCGGCGCACTTGTGCTAAATGCTTTGCATCCCGCAAGGAAAAAATATTTACCTTAATTGGAAATACAAATTTAAGAATGTAATAAATATGTGTTTTACTGTTGTTTTTATAATAGGGATACATTGGCCTCCTCCATCGAGTTACCCCATTCTCAAATAGAGCAGGTTATCATAATGGTGCTAATTGCAGATATTTGTAATGACCATAGGAATTGTTACAATTGGCAAACTATCAATCTGCAGATTCTGTCCAAATGAATTGTGTAATTGTAGGTGAACCACATTTGCAGGTAGATGGTGGCCAATTTTGTTGAATTTGGGCATTCAGTTATGTATTTCAACGATTCGGTTCTGGATCCTGAAATCCTCACATTAGTGTCATTTCAGTCAGAATGGCAAAACATTGATAAACATTGTGATCAATGGTTTCTGGTGTGAATGCCTCTCTGGATGGTACTTGATTTGTTTTTTAATCCAGAACCGGGCTTTCTGTCTTTAGTGAATAACCCCAACTGAGAAACGCTCTGGTAATTTTCTAATAAAACACTAATGCCACTGATTAAAGGGAACCATTTCTAAACCACAAAAATGTAAAGGTTCTTGTATGGGTAACATTGCAAAATTAAGTGAAAATTAGGTGAAAATTAGGTAAAAAATAACTTGGGTAGATAAATAAAGTTGGTAGCAAGTCAGCCTCTTCTAATTTTTTCAGTAGGACCAACGGAATTGCAAATATTCACCCTGTAGCTTTAAATTTCATAGAGGTTAATTTAGGCATTTTGTAGATCCCCATTTAGTAAAGTTTCCAATAAAACTTACTGTGAAATTTCTCCTTCATATACATATCTTGCTGCATAAAAGTATTCACGCACATTTCTCAGATACAGTTTGTTTGAAGACATTCATGCAAATTGGCCATTTATAACTTCTGTGGAAAGATTTATTCGACGACCATCATAAGGTTAGATTTCTTATCCATCTCACTTTTCATGCTGTGTTGACACCTTTTCTTAAGTGGTTCCAATTTGTGCTTTTCGTTTAACTGTGTTGTACGGTTGAAGCTTGGTAAATACAACAAAATCAAATATTTGAATTAAACATGTGCCCTTATCCGGGGCACACACATTTCTTGGAAGATTTTACTGGGTCTCATTCAGATCCTTTTATACTTTCACGCTTGATGGGCTTAAAGAAGTGGAGATATGCAGAACCTTCGCGATTCCTTTCTATCTCGTCTCGTCAGAAAGACCCATATTTCTCTGAAAGGAATTATAACATCAAAATAAATCCCGAGTCAAAATGATTTACATCCTTTTGTGATATTGTAGGCATATCTAACTAAGAAACATGACCCGAGGTACAGACCTCCAAGGATATGATTCTTTAATAGAAGGAGTGAAAAACTCAATAATTCAGCAGAGCATGGTAACGTTCACAAAACTGGAATATTTTTCATAGTGATTATCCACCCTTATATAATATATTTTATAATAAGAGTGGATAATCACTATGAAAAATATTATTATATTGAAAAAATAAATAATTTTTTTTTAACAGTGTGTGTGTGTGTGTCTGTCTCTCATAACAATAGGTTGAGTGTTGGAAATGTGTAAAACACTAATTTATTTAGTTTAGGGTTTTGCCCTAAACTAAAATATGAGATTTTTCTCTTTTGTGATTTAAGATTTTTTTTCCACTCTTTTTTTTGTTTTAAGGATATTTAGTAATCCAGTATACTTTGCAAGTTACATATTAACTAAATGAAAATGTGATAAACAGTTTTAAAGTTGTTACTCTAGGAATACACGTTAAAATTGTAAAACACCATTGTAAAATATATATACAGATAATGGCATTAGCATCTTCCTTATTACATTTTCTCAGAGGGGTCCTTTTGGATGGGACCCAAGCTTCCATTCAAAAACTTGTATATATGTTTTCATATAACTTTTATAATACCTAAATATATATGATACATAATACATATGTTGGTTTGTGTTACATGACCTAGGCTTGACCATGACCCATGGGTATTATATACCAGTGGGGGATCAACGCCACTGAATGCGATTTACACCTGAGCTGGCTTTAGCTCTCGACTAGTTGAGTAGGAGTAACCATCACCACTATCATACTCTGCCTTTGGTTTGAATTCTTACACTACTGGATTTTTCTCTCCTTTACATGCCTCCACGTCATCTGGACATTGGATTATCTCAGGACCCATAAGACTAAATATATTCATTCAATCAACTTGGACTATTTCTCTTTTATCCATATTATTTTACTCAGGACTCTGTTCTCCCTTATACGTTTTATGTAAGTACTCATTGTTTTTTACTGTTTGTTATTATACCATATTATTTGTGTGGCGCGACCTATTACTTTCTGTTTTTACATTTGTACTTCTTTGATGGTTTGTGAGGGAACATCATACTCTTAGGTTGCGGCCTTTTATCATTTTACCATCCCTATACCTACGTGTCACTAAGCGCTGAATCCAACAACTCTCTCACACCATGAGTATTATATGTTTCATTTTATTTGTGCTACAATTTTGAATTAGATTTGCATGGATATACACTGATCAGCCACAACATTGAAACCACCTGCCTAATAGTGTATAGGTCCCCCTATTTAATATAATAATATTTTTTCAAGTTTTGAAAGGAAATAGATTGTTTATTCAATGAACTGTATGGTATATTAAAGAAATCTGAAAATCTCACCCATATCTTTAGTGTATGGAAGAATTCTGCAGCCATACATATGGCCAGCCACAACATTAAAACCACCTGCATAAAATTGTATAGGTTCCCCTCGTGCTGCCAAATAGCTCTGATGTGTTGAGACATGGACTCAACAGGACCTCTGAATGTGTCCTCTGGTACCTGGCACCAAGACATTTGCAGCAGATCTATTAAGTCCTGCAAGTTGCGAGTTGGGGTCTCCAGGGATTGTATTTGTTGTTCAAGCACATCCCACAGATCCCACAGATGCTCAATCAGATTGAGATCTGAAGAACTTGGAAGCCAAGGCAACACCTTGAACTCTTAGCCATGTTCATCGAACCATTCATGAACAATGTTTGTAGTGTTTAATGGTCCATTATCCTGCCGAAAGAGGCCAATGCCGTTAGGGAACACCATTGCCATGAAGGAGTTTATGTGGTCTGCAACAATCTTTAAGTAGGTAGTACATGTCAAAATAACATCCACATGAATACCAGGACCCATGGTTTGCCAGCAGAACATTCTTCCCATAGTGCATCCTGCTGCCATCTCTTCTCTAAGTAAATTATGCACACCTATCCACTCATCTGATCTAAAAGCAAATATAATTAATCAGACCAGGCAAACTTCTTTTATTGCTCCAAGATCCAGTTCTGATGTTTATGTCCCCATTAAAGGCACTTTTGGCAGTGGACAGGGGTCATCATTGGCTTTCTGAATGGTCTGCTGTTATGCAGTCCCATATTAAGAAAACTGATGATTCACTGTGTTTTATGACACCTTTTTTATCATTGCCAGCATTGGGTTTTTCAGCAATTTGAGTTACGGTAGCTTTTCTGTTTGACTGGACCACACAAGGTTCCCCATGTTTTCAACACTCATAAAGCAGTTATCCAGGGACACTCTGTTTCATTATCATGTGAATAAGGCATCTTCCAGCAATGACAATGCAAGAATTGTAATAATCACCAATAAGAATCAATCCAAACTATATCATTTTATAAAAAATAAAGATAGGTTATAAATGGACCAAATTATTTTCTACTCTAATTTTGAAGATTATCACTTATTAGTATACAGAATGCTGTGTGTCTTTTACAACATTTTTTTTATTATCTTTTAAGTGTGTCTGCTCTGTGTTAATGAGTTGCCTAAATTTCAGAATGCATTTGATGAGTATTTAGTTCCTAATTTTAGTCAGTTTTAACAAATAGCTATAATTTAGTTCCTGTTTTTGAGTTTTTATAATAATCTGTTCCCATTTCTTACAGTTTAAAAAAATATAAAATAAAGAAAAAAAAAATACTGCCGGTATTGGTTTACATTGTAACATACAGTACAAATAATATGCAAAATGAAATATCTTGCTTGTCATTGAGAACCTAAACGAACCTGTGATGTCTACTTTGCAGATGGATTTTCTGTGTGCATTTAAACATATGGTGGAGA